TTAAAAACAAAAGTTTCATTGCCACTTATTTCACAAATCATACAATTCAGTTGTTCATTCATATCAAGAAATGTGTACAGTCATTATCACAGTCAGTTTTAGAACATTCACTTTCCACTGCACTCTGCATGACAGCAAGGCTATTCACATCCCTCGTCTATTGTCAGAGGGAATTCTTCGGAGGTTAATCTCTTTGTATTTCCCTCCATATTTTTTGTTTTAAGAGAAACAAATGAGTCAAAACAGACGTTGAGTGAGAAGATCCTATATTTTAACCTAACTATCGCCATATTTGACTCTCCAGTGCTTTCTGTCTGATAGCAAGGCTGTTCACATCCCTGGATGTGTTTAGTCATGGGAGATTCACCTGAGGCTTAATCCTTGTGTAGAGCCTTCCACACAATAGAATTTGGCCTTCCACTGTCATCCATTGTCTTCTGCGAGCCAGTTGCTCCTCTCCGAGACCCTTCCTTCCTTTGGGTTGGATTTTATGATGCACAGTTCTTGTATCAAACATGCGATTGCACTTAGCACTAGCTTTGGTGGACTTAGGTGACAGTTTCTGTGCCAATTTCTTAAAGGAAGGAGAAATGGATGTATTCTAAAATCAAGTAATAACATGAATGATTTTAAATTACAACATTGAAGGCTCTTATACCCACCGTGTTAGTTGTTGTTGTTTTTAAACCGCCTAGTTTCGGTATCATTCCTGGAAGCACCAAGGTTATTCTTGAGTGAGTGTTGCTGAGGGAGCTGGGATTGGTCTTGCTTTTGCATCATTTGATCAAATTAAAGGTTTTTTTCCCCCACCAACCCAGCCACCTCCTTGCCTGTTTAGATGACGAATGGTTGCTGTTTATTGTATAATTTTTTTCTTACCAGATTATTTCTGGATACCAGCATATGATATAATCATTATTTGAGCAAGATGTCGTCAGTCTTTGATTTCTGTTTGCTTTTTTAATGTTGATTTTTAAGCTTGGACTTTCATTGGTGGCTTCCTTTCTCTTTGGGAGGGAGGTTTGATTAATTTTGTAAAGAATGTGTAATTCCTTCCTTTTGACTAGATCTCAAAACCTTAATTTCGTTCTGTGCTGCACAGTTCCGTTCATCTCCATTTAATTCAATATAATGAATTTTAAGTTATGAAACTTCTTGATGTGTTTGAGTACAAGAACAATTCACTGTGATTATATGTGGTTTTCAATCCGATGAAGACCACCACCACATCAGCAAGAACCACACAATACTGTCCAGTTGATTCTGACTCAGAGACCTAGGGCAGAGGAGAATTACCCCTTTGGTTTTCCATACTTTAATAATCTCAACAGCCTCATCTTCTCCCGAGGAGTCATTTGTGGGCTTGATCCGCTGACCTTGTAGCTAGCAGCTCAGTGTTAACCCCATTAACGCATCAGAGCTCAAACCCACCAGCCACTACAGGAGAGAGGTGAGACTTTTCTGGTGTAGCAAAGAGTTAGACAGCCTTGGAAAATCATGGGGCAGTTCTACCTGGTCTTTATAGGGTTGTTACGGTTTGGAACCAACTCAGTCGATGCACAGCGAGCCAGTGATTTTTACTTACTATGATACCGAGTAATCCTCTCAGACATCGCTGTGATCTTGCAGGTTAAAGATAATCTGTTCTCATTTTCCCCAGTTCATAGTCATGTAAAGAAAAAGTTTTTAAAAACACATTTTCATAACAAATGCATCTAAGTGTATATTCTTTGTACAAAACCCAAACTCACTGCCATCAAGTCAGTGCTGACTCACAACGACCTCCTGTGGGGTTCCAGGTCTATAACGGTTTGCAGGAGGAGAAAGGCCGGTGTTTCTGCCGGGGAGCTGCAGTTGGTTTCAAACTGCTAACCCTGCGGATCTCAGCCCGATGCATAATCACTACACCACCAGGGGCTTCTTTTATTCAAGGGAGCTTTAAAAACGTCATGGAAAAATAGAATTTCCCCATAAACTTTTGAAGCCCCCTTGTACATTTTGGTACGAAAATCTGTCAGTGCTGTTGGCAGTCTCCTTGTATCAGTTCTACTTCCAGCGAATGAAGGGAGTGGGCAGTTGTCCCTTCTCTGAAATGTTAATCATCACCCCTCCATTCTGCTACTGTTAGAGTAGACACCCAGTGCCGCGGGATGGGAATAGAGCACCCCAGGACATGTTGCTGTCTTGAACCCCCAGTGAGTTTGACTAACTTTCACCCATCTCTCTATGGCTCTCTACTTTTCATCCACAGAGTGAGAAGAAATGTAGGTAACTAGCACCTGAACTGGTGTCTAATGGAGTCATTTAAAAACCAACCAACCAAATAACATGTACTCCCTGCGTGCCCTGGGCCAGTCATATGACTCATTTATAAACCATTGCTGCTTTTGAAAATCACCACTGTTCAGATGCCTCCCTCCCCCAGCTGCGGACAGCCAGTGAAGGCAACTGAAAACGCATCTCCTAGTCAGATCCCAGCCGGAGACAAAGACCTTTCTATGAGCGCTTGCTCCCACTGGTGAGAGTCCAAAATGCTAATTGCATCAGCTGCATTAAATCACTAAGTGGGGGTTAGCAGCTGCCTTACCAATGGAGAAAAACAGGAGGGAGCCTGGCCTTTCTTACCAAGAAGCTTCTTTTTCCTCTCCAGCCAAACCCGTTGCTGTTGAGTTCATTTCAACTCAGAGCGAGCCTGTAGCACAGAGCAGAGCTAGCTGCCCATGGGCTTCCCAGGCTGGTAGTCTTAAAGGAAGCAGACTGCCTGGTCCTTCTCCAGGGGAGTGGCTGCTGTGGCCAAGTGCTTAACGGCAAGTGCATTACCGTGGCTTCTTGGCCCCCTCCCCAAGTTACCCTAAAATATTTTTTCATTTGTCTGCGGCTCTGATCTCTGAAAGAGAACAGAAAGCGTCACGTGGTTTGGACTGGCCGAGACACACGGGATATGTACACTTCCTCGGAGCCCTTCTGTATGCTCAGCTTTCTTGTCCCATGTGGGATTTGTTTTTGTTTTAAAATTGCCACTCAGACCTGCCCCCAAGTCTGTTTCCTGCCGTGTTTGTTTTCTCCAGCTAAGTGAGGTGTTTCTGTTTGGTGGCCGTGGCTCTGGGACATTCATGACCACAGGGAGATTGGAACCCAGCAGTTGGTTTGCTTCTGTAAAGACAACACGAAACAGTATGTAATAAGTATTAGACATAATTAGATTCCAGTTGTAGTTGGCTCACAGCCGTTGGCAAATGCTGCGTTTCTGATGCTTTTTCTCCAAGGTGGGCCCTCATAATTAGACCATAAATGTCAATTAGCTGGGTTACACTTCTTTTTATTTTGTGAGTTTTCATGTGAGTCACCTATTTTAAAACCTGAAAAGCAGGAGGACTGTTTAAAGTATGCATAAACTTCATTCTGAACCAGTTAATGGAAAGAGAAATCAACTTTCCCTTTAGCATTTTTTGGTAGTTCAGTTCATACGTGTTCCTAGGATGTAGACCTGGCTAGAAGTTCAGGGAAGGCTTATGAGTGGTTTTGGAGATGCTGGGCCCAAGTGGCCAGGGCACGCATGCTTGTTTGACCTTCTTTGGCCCTGTTAACACCTTCCCCTCTCTCCAGCTGTGTGCTAATGTGTGCACCTTTGTGCACACTCCACTCTTCCCCCCCTACACACACACACACTCTCTCTCTCTCTCTCTGCGCGCGCGCGACTCCTGAGAACACCAGAGATCAATGTGGAATAAATGTCTTTAGAGAAATGTAAGGAAGTTTTAAGGGAAAAATATCACCATTTCCTCTAGTAAATAAGAGAGGGCTTCAAAGAATTCATGGACACCTACAATCAAAGGGACCCCTTAGAGCCCTGGTCTTCCGGTTTCCTCGAGCACCCATGTCATTTCGTTCCCTGAACATCCCCTCTCCTGTCGCTTTCCTGTGCTGGAGCATCTTTGTAGACATGAGTCTTTGCAGGCAGCACGGTAGAGCGCCCTGTCCGTGTCACGTGCCTGCAAGACGCAGCATGGCCCGGCTTGCGCACACGTTATGGCTGCAGGGGGAGGGAAAGGCCAAGCAGGCTTCTCAGCACTCACACAGGCAGCTTATTTTTTTTTTACAGACCCGTGTCACCATCTGTTTCCTCCATCCCCTCCCTGAGCTTCACACACAAGCACCACCCCTTCCTCTGCTCACATTTATTTTAATAAAGTGAAAGGTGAGGGGCGAAGCCAGGTCTGCATTTTGTTATTGAAATTCACGGGCGGATTGGACTCTCACTAAGCATGCTCCCTGGGGCTGCGCTGCCAGCCTGGCCCTACTGGCAGGGGCTGCTGTAAGAAGTGCCTGCCATCTGGCCTGATGTAGTCCAGGTGACTGAAAGTCCGAAAAGTTTACTAACAGAGGAACCGGCTTTTTTTCTAGTCACTAATTAAAGTGGTGCCCGTTAGTTAGGGACTTTTCCTCTTCTGCTTTTGTAGAGCAGTGAAGTGATGCCTAATGAAATGACGGTAAAACTGCCGGCAGTCACGTAGTAGAGTTGGGTCCGCAGTCCCTGGCTGGTGCACTGCCCCGTGCTACCTGCCATTTACATCTGTGTTTTCCAAAGAAGCTGATAGTGCCCCCAAGGGAGCTCTGACATGATTGGAGGTGGGGTAGATCCCCACACCTGATACTGGGTTATGGGATAGTGTACAAAAGTGTGTATTTGGCAGTGGGGCACCGAGTAAATTCTCTCCCCCAACGGGCAGTCAACTAATGGTATGCATACTTATCATTTGTATTTCGTGTATTTTTTGCTTAGCCTGTAATCTCATTTCAAAGAATGGATCCACGTAAGCTCCCTAACTCTTGATATGCAGATAAGCGTGACTGTATAGCCATCCCTCCGTTTATTTTCCGAGGGACCGGAAAGTTGTGTGTTCATTTGTTGTTTCGTGTGTGTGTGTGTGTGTGTGTGTAAAGTAAAGTCATGTATTTCATTCAAAGGCAATACCATTTTACCTTTGTTTATTCTTAAGGATGAAGAGGAAGAAATCAAACTGGAGATAAACATGCTGAAGAAGTATTCACACCATAGAAATATTGCAACCTATTACGGTGCTTTCATTAAAAAGAGCCCTCCAGGGCACGACGACCAACTCTGGGTAGGCAGATGTTTCCTGCGTATTCTGCAGGGCTTTCTTCTTGGGCTCTATTAGAAAGGCATAAAGTCCTTTTCAGAGGGGAGGGGACTGGGAGGAAATTTGGGCAGTAGCTGGTAGATTTTTAAAGGCTTCCTTGGCTTGGATCTGTTTTGGGGAATATTGAATGCTTATTTGGATGTTTATTTCACACGGTACAGATAAGAGTTAACTTTTAAGAATCAAGGGGCATGTTTTAGTGGGATCTCAGTGAAATCGCAAGGAGATTGGGAGCTTGAAAATAAAAATGATACCATTAAAAACAGCATGGGAGTTGGTTAGCTCAATCCATTATCCCTTTCTTTATACCTGCCTGGAAGTACAAGGCCAAGCTCAAGCCAACAGGCTTCTGGCATCACTTTCTTAAGTGATAATGATGGCCTCTCCTGCCCAGGTGCTCACAGTAGGGCTTGAACACCTGAGAACCTCTGCCCTGGGCCGTGTGCTTTTAGAATGCCAGAAAACCCTAGTTTCCTGGACTGGCCAGGTACACCCGGTGGATGAAGTGGACAGTGCATGGAGCCCTACATATTCTGGATGTCTCCACAGTGTGGTCACACAGCCCAGATCTTTCAGAAAGGTGGACTGGGTTAGAATTGGTTGTGGTAACTTGGGGGGGATGTGCACTAAAATCTGTGCTGCTACTCCAACGGCCGGAATGTGTTAGTCACATGGTGTCTCGTCTGCCCTGCAGCTCGTCATGGAGTTCTGTGGGGCCGGCTCCATCACAGACCTTGTGAAGAACACCAAAGGGAACACCCTCAAAGAAGACTGGATCGCCTACATCTCCAGAGAGATCCTGCGGGTGAGGAGCGGCCGCAGTGGGGGCCCTGGTGGTAGCGCATGCTCGGGCTCACACCGTCATTTTCCTAGCCCGAAGGATTTCTTCACATTAATTATAGCTGTATAGATGATTCTCTTCTTCACAGCCAGTAGCTCTGCTCAGCTGGCCCCATCATGTAAGCCACATCATCGTTTTAACCGTGGAAGGAGCTAAAGAAAGTAAACTAAACAAAAGCCCAGGGTTTTCTCCATTTTCCTGAAATTCCTCCTCTAAGTTAATCACTACATGCCTAATAACATCTTTCCCTTTGACATTACAAAGAAAATCAGACCTGATGGGAGGAGGGAGTGGGTGGTAGTCCTAAGGGTTTATTTTTATTGGGACCCATTCGGGTCAGGTTATCAAATCAATGCTAATGGTGCTAAATGTTGGTTTTCAAAATCATCCTGTGAACTTTGGCATTGACTGTTAGAATCTGTTGTAATATTTATGAGCAAAAGTTCTAATGCAGTGTGATTTACAGCTAATTGGGAAGCTGGCTTATGATCTTAGAGTAAGTCCTCGGCTGCTGTTTTAACAGCTTTCAGTAGAGCCACCATCCTGTTAGCATAGGAAAGAGGGAAATATATATATAGATATAGACATATATAGTTTCATATGTGACGAATGCTTGTGAATTACCAGGGTGTCTGTGTTCCTTTAAGCATAGCCAGGGCATTTCTTCTTTCCACTTCACTTCTAAATTACACATTTAAGTCACAAGGTTATATTTCATCTTTCCACTAATTAAAAAACAAAGAATTTACAAGTGGGTAGTTCCTTTAATTTTTTATTTATAAAGTTAACCAACTTTTTATATTTAAGAGTAGTAGAGGATTTCAGGTTTTAAACATGCCCTCTAAAATTCATAGAGAAATATATGCTTTATTTAGTGTTTTATAGAGTCTTTGAGAATTAGCGGTTCCTATAGGAAAACTAATGTGGAGGTATAACAGCTGTCATTTATAAGAATAAATGCCTTTAAATTAGGAAACATTTTCCTCCTATACCTGAGCTGCCACAAGGGAGTTTGGCAAATGAGCAGATGCATTTAATATATCAATAGCTATCATTCTATATTGATAGCATGCTAGGCAGGCTAGGGTAGTGTTTAGGAGGTTGGCCACAGGAGCTAGCCAGATTTGGAGTTGAGTCTTCACCCTACTATTTATTTATTGCAGGCAAAGTTATTCCACTTCCCGGACTTAACCTGCCTCGTCCTAAGAACTAAGGAAGACTGGTGTACTGTGGTGGTCTAGTGAGTTAGGGTGGAGGGCTAATAGCAAGGCCAGCAGTTTCAGACCACCACCAGCCACCTGAGGAAGAAGAATGAGGCTTTCTTAAAGAGTTTCGGTTTGGAAACCCACAGGGGCAATTCTACCCTGTTCATTAGGGCCACACTGAGTTGGAAATGACTTCAGAAGTGAGTTTTTATTTTGAGAGTCAAATGAAGTCGTGTGTGAATGATTTCATGCACTGTGTAGGCACATACCTTCTCAGTAACAGTTGGTTGCTGTTGCTCTCTTAAATTTATGTGTCTGTACCCTTCCCGCTTAAAACGCTAGCATAAGATTTCACAAACAGAAAACTCGTTTTCAGTATAATGTCTTTGGCAATAACGCGTGTCTGCCATCAAAGACAAATTCACATGGTTTTTGGTTTTTTTTGATAGGTAAGCACGGTTTACATACATACATCACATATATATTTCCCCACCATTGATCTCAGGCAACATTGAAAAGACTCATTGGTTTGGGTCTCTAATCTGGGTATGATAGGTGACTAGATATCTCTGAAGTGAACACATCTTTGTCACCTCAGTGAGCACCTGCCTCACAAAGTTCATCTAAAAGAGGACTTTTCTCTGACCAAAGTTTGCATTAGCTAAACACAAAAACTTTCAGGAGGATTTAATACACTTCTCTTCACTTAGCAACTTATTACCCGAGGTTTTGCATTTATGACCATGGTAAAAGATCTATTTTCCACATTACTGAGGCACTGAGCCTGGTATGAGTGGCTGTGAAGACCCTCTGGGAAGCTGAGTCACACTACCCCACCCTCTCTTCCCCTGCCAGCGGGGCCGTGATGGCAGGCTTCATGCTGGGTGGCCTCCTCTGCGACCACAGCCGGCACCCGTTCCAGTTTCTCAGCTCCTCTGTAGTCTGAATTCCATTTGCTACACTTGCTGTGGGATGGGACAGGAGGAAAGGAGGAGGCACCTGACAGGGTGTTGGGAAGAGATGCGTGTGAGTTTCGTGATAACCCAATGTGGACTCGTCTGGGCCTGCAGTCTCGGCCTTGCTGCTGGCTCCCAGGGGCCGGGTCAGTGCCAGGCGGCTGCTCTAGGAGGTAAATGCTGACCCAGCATTGGAGGAAGGTGAAGCGGATAAGCCACAGGTCCTCCAGACACACCGGCCGGCTTTATCCTCCCAGCCGCCTCTGCTGGGCTCATCACAGGGATGAGCACCCCAGTCAATCTTGGCTATGATTTCTACTTCAGTCAATTTTCTATGATTTCAACTTTTAAAAGTCAGCACACAGGTGGTCCTGGAAGGGGAGGGGGAGACGCACGCAGGAACCCGCCATTTTTGCACAGTACCAGTTTTCCCATCAGGGCACCCCATGCCGATAAATGGGCATTGAGTGTACAACGGGAAATGTAGACATGGTTAAGGATAGCTAGTTTCTGTAGTGGGGAAGAAACCTTTCCCGCATTCTTTGGTAAGATACCAACATTTAGATGCCGCGTCTGCCAAACAGGAAGCGTCAGGAGCATCAGTAGAAGCGCGGTCTTTAGTTAACCCTGGGGACTTCCAGGAACAGAAATGTACCAGCCAGCCAGCATGCTCCAACCCACTTCCATTTTATGTGATAGCACTTCCATTTTTGTGGAAACCACTGTTTCCTATTGGAGGTGGGTACCTGGAGTCTTCCATCGTCAGTACTTTGGGGCGGCCTGGCCCA